CCCCCCTCAGACACCCGTGGTTCGCGGATCTGGGCCTCAAGTGGTACGCCCTCCCTGCTGTGTCCGGCATGTTGTTTGACTGCGGCGGCCTGGAGTTCCCGGCATGCCCCTTCAACGGCTGGTACATGGGCACTGAGATCGGCGCCAGGGACTTCTGTGACGCCAACCGTTACAACATGATGGAGGTAACGCTGTCACGGCCTCTGTCTTGTTTGTTTGTGCGTTTGTTTGTTTGTTTGTTTGGTTGGTTGGTTGGTTGGCTGTTTGGTTGGTTGGTTGGCTGTTTGGTTGGTTGGTCGGTTGGTTGAATGTTTGGTTGTTTGTTTGTTTGTTTATGTGTTTGTTTGGTTGATTGGTTCGTTGGTTGGCTGGTTGATTGGTTGTTTTCTTAATCGTCTTTAGAAAAGAAAAGAGTATGCTTGGGGGGCGTCGGGGATAAGCCATTCCCAAAGTGCTACTGACTGAAGTTGTCTTTGGGCCATTCACAAAGGGGGGATATTAACACGTTGTTATGCACAGTAGAATTGTAAATGGGCTGATTTATCAATGTCATGCTCATACTGTGCCGGAACAACATAGGGGGAACTGATGCTTTTTCTTTCCTCATCCTTACCATCGTCATTTTTCCTCTACTTCTTTTGTATGTTTGTCACTCTCTTGTGAACTACTAGTTCCGGGGTGTCTTGATAGTCGAAGCAGACTTTGTGCTGTTGAGGCTAGAGAAGTGAGCAGAGTAAGTCTGATTCCCTGTAAGGACTTCTCTGTTGACATCCACCCCTTGGCGCTCATATGACCTTATGCAGTTGCTAGCGCTGTAAAACGTTGTTAAAACAAAACATTACTCACTTATGTATATTATACACTTAAAGGAAACAATTGGTCGCTTTTAAGCACAAGGGGGCTATCCCGAAAAATGCTGTTTTGAGAAAATCGAAGGTAAAGTTTTTGCCCCTTGTTCAGTCTCTTTAAAAGTCAAGGAGAGTTTTCTCTATAACCAAACAAAAAAAAACCCAGACCAATGAAACCAAACTTCTCCTATAGATAGGGCAATGCCCACTTTTGGAGTAGGTCAAGATTTCTGGAAGCCCCCAAAATCTGGGTCAGCCCGTTTGTCCTTAAAAGTGACCAATTATGTTTGTTTGTTTGTCCGTTGATTTGTTTGTTTGAAAATAGTGAAATGGTTTGGGTTTAAAGCCTCTATCAACACGATTACGTAAAATAAGAGGCGGAACCAATTATGTGTTTTAAGTAAACAACTTGTACGACAATAGCCTAATGAATGAAAGTTGGATATCAGGAGAAAGGAAGAAATACCTGCTTGTGTTTCTGGTTCCGTTGGAGAGGCTGACACGGCAC